GAAGAAGATTTTAGTTGTCCGTTAATGACAATGAAATATTTTGTAACCGCTCATTAATAAAATGTAACTATCCAGTAATTACTCTTGCCAAAGAATCGAAACCAACAGCAAGATCTGGGACATCATATTCTTCTATAGTTTTTTTTGGTAAATAGTTCATATGTGAACAACTATTCGATATTTATGAGAATTGTTCATACGTGAAGGGTATATATGAAAAAAAATCTTAATTTTTTTTCGTAACATCCATGCTTTATTTTAGTAAACACATATACTATATAGTATCGTTCATATATGAACTAAATGTGAAATGGTACATGGTTCACCTATGAACAAACATCCAGTTGTGCTGCGTTTTACCTCTGGATACTATTCAATTATTTTTAAATAATTGTTAATTTGTACATACCTAGTTTTTGTTATGTGTATGTGGTTATCACGTTCACATATGAACAAAATATTTTTTTTAAATGTTGAAACGAGATCCTTCACCTATGAACAAGTGTTTACTCAGGTATAATTAAGAAATGTAACCGATAATTAATTTTACTTGGAATAATTAAGAAATGTAACTAACAATTAATTTGCATGAGATATTCACAGTGGCAAGAAATAAAATAATTAAGAAATATAACTAAAAATTAATTTGCATGAAAAGAAAGATCAAATAAAAAATTACATTTTTATCTTCATTAAATAAATTTACCATGTGCATCAACCAAGAGTGTATCTTGTTTTCTATTGGTTCATTGAGGTTTGCAAAGTTAACACCTTTTAATTGGTTAACAAAAGATCTTACCCCCCCCCCCCTCTCTCTATATCTATATCTATACTATCTTATAAAGCAATTTTAACAAAAGTCTTAAAGTCTTAAAATACTAAATGACCAAGATACCCTTTCTATCACTTTTTTCACGTTTCCACCCCCTCCTCTCCTCACATACACTCACCCTCTCACAACCGATTTTTTTAAAATTATAATTTTAAATTTATACTTTATATCTTTATAATTAGTTAATTAATTTACTTTACGTTCTTTACTTTTAAATGTTTCATTTTAAACATTTATCAAATTAATATACATAATCGTATATCAATTAAAACATGTTTAAAAAATACATTTTTATTTTAACAAGTTATACCATTATAATCGTCTCGTTAATACATTCGAAATGAGTCAAATATTGAATATTTTTGACTTAATTATATTATTATATGTTATATATATACTGTGAAAAAATATTTTTAATATTTACGATTTATACTTTTATAGTTATTTATTTATATATATACTATATATTTTGGGTTTAGGCTGTCCAAATTGCACTGTATAATATGTTCTGAATTAATATGTTCTTGGGTTTTTTTTTTAAATATATATATACATGTATTAATTCAACCTTAATCTGAGTTTCTGGACAAGAAAGAGGGTAAGCAGTTGAAATTTCATTCTAAAATCCATATTTTTTGGTCTTTTCATGCCTTATGATCTGTTAAATTTGTAGTTTTCTTTATTGGTTTTGAGTGTTTATCTTAAAACTCAAGTTTCTTGGTTCTTTGCTCTTGGTGTAAATCGAACACATTTGTGGAGTCGTTTAATTATGTTGGATTTTAAATAAATTGGATTTTAAACTGTCATACAATTTTTTCCATCTATAGTCTGTAATTGGAACCATAACTCTTATTTATTCAAATTGTATTAATATGTAAAGACCAAATGTAACATATATCATCGTTAAATCTTATCTTATAAAACCAGTGGAACTTCAAAATCGTTAAAATTCATGGCTCCCGCCGCATTGTGCGGGTACACAACCAGTATATATGTATGTATAAAAACTGTTCTATCATAGTGGAAAAGGATTTACTATCTTTACCCGTGCCATTATTGTGTTTTCGGTGTGCTACCATTAATGATAAAGTTAGATATGAAAATTTGCTTCTTACTTTCTCATTATATTTAACTTTTTTTATTTGAACTTTCTACCATATTTATATACGTAAATAAATTGTTCTATCATACTTAAAAAAATTACCGTCTTTAAAACGTGTTGTTATTATGTTTTTTTGTGTTACCGTTAACAAAATTGGATTTTGTGAAAATGTAATTAATGGAGATGTGTTAACTACTTCCAAAAAGATGAAATGGGTAAACAACAATTTGATGAAGCATCGTGTGAAAATGAGAGTTAAGGTGAAAAGCGTAAGAAGAAATCTGAACTCTTAATCATCTTTAATCTCAAACATACCCATGAATCGCACTTGATACGAGGATTGATCCGATGCATCTCATCATAATGTACATCCAAAAGTGAAGATCACTTTTTACACTTCTTACCTTAACTCTACTTTTCACCGAAATCCAACGCAGGATAATTTATCCTTATTTGTTTTTCGTGTTTTAGTAGCGTGTACTATTAGAGATGCATGGAGTACAATGGCAATGGAGGAGGGGTCCATTATAGAATGGGTGGAGAATGCGGTGAAGATCTTTGCCAAAAGTCTCGATACCACTCCATTGTATATTTTGAAATCATACCATTGAAATCATTTCATCTTTATGGTACAACGTGTGTTTGTTTATTCATTTGGTTTGATTCGTAAGATTTTGATCCAACGACTTAGATTGTAGGGATGGACTCATAATTTTTTTTTTTAAAACGGTTATACCATTTGATTATAAAAAACAAATATAAGGATATTTTTCGCAAAATCATTATTGGTTTGTTGGTATGTTTCTATAAAGGGTCCGTCTATGTGTCATTGATTTAGCAATATCTCGAATCAGACTGTATTGACTTGGTTGAACCAGCGAAACCATTTGAAACCACTATTGTTTTGTGGTTTGAGCCGTTTTATTATTTTATACTTGAAAGTATATGTTAAACAAAAACATTTTTTTTATTAACATGGATATCCAACTCGCTATACGAGCCGAGTAATCCCAGAACGACCACCTGCTTTGCAGATATTCCGGAGTCACCATATTTGAACATCCGTGGCCACAAGGGGATTTTTATTTCTCTTTGGATTTGAACATGTGACCTCCTGGTATTTTTGACCTTTAGAGCAAAGCTCAAACCAATCAGACACCACCCTTTTGGTTTTAAAAAAAAACATTTATAATTTAAACACATGAAAAATAGAATGAACAATTGAATACGTCACTGAATCATCACAAAAGATTGGGTTTTTATTGTTATTTAAAATACAAATATATAAAATAAAATTAATGATGCGAAATCTTTGCAAAAGTAATTTATATGATATTTTCGGTTTAGTAATATAATTTTTTTATAAAAATATTAATTAAATATTTTATTAGAACTCAATTATTATTATTTTAATTATATTTTAGATTTTTATATTTAAAATGAGATTCAATCATTATTTTGATTATCTTTATCTGAAGTTAGCTACCCAAATTTAAATATATAGTTTTAATAAGTTATACTAACGTACAATTTAATTGTAATCTTGAATTTTAAGTAATATCATCAAGAAAAAATACTTGATGCGTCAAAAATGATTTTTAAGAATTTACGTCAAATGCTTTATAATATAAATAGAAAGGTACTTGCGTAATGCAACGATATTTATTTCGATTTTAGTGTTTCGTTTTATTTTGTTAACGTCGATGTTATAATACGATTTTATGTGGTTTTGGAAAAACGATAATGTTTTAATTTTTTGAATAAAATATAAATTTGAAGGTGTCATAAAATTTTGAAAAAAAATGTATCAACTTTAATATCAAATTAAATATTTAAAAGTTCTTGTTTTTTATATAATTTTTTTAATTTAATTTTTTATTATAATTAATTTAAATT